CTTCACCCCCTCCACACTCCCCTATTTACAAAGACTTTGTTTCTATTTTTTCTTTTTCTCATATTTTTTCTTGTCCCTTATTTCCTTTCTTCTACCCTTCCCACTTCCCCTACACCTTTAGCCCTTTTCTTCCTGTTTCACATTGTCAGTTATACAATTTGGATCTTATTTACACTTTTCAGAAATTATTTGGTATTTACAGGTATCTTATTTATTTCACTTAAGAGTATGGCCTCAATATGCATCCATTTTCCTATGAATGACTCTAGTTTCTTTATGGCTGAGTAGCATTTCATTTTATAGAAAAACCCCATTTTCTTTATCCAGTCTCTAATTGATGGGCAGTTGGGTTGTTTCCAAGTTTTTAGCCAGTACAAACTATGCCGCTATAAACATGGGTGAACATATATCACTGTGGTATGATTCTTTTAATTCTTTTGGGAAGATACCCAGCAGAGGGATGGCTGAGTCAAATGGAACCTCTAGTCCCAGCTCTTTGAGGTATCTCCATACTGATTTCCACAGTGGTTGCACCAGTCTGCACTCCCACCAACAATGGAAAAGGGTTCCTTTCTCCCCACAACCCCACCAGGTCAGTTTACCGTACTGTAAGTTTAATGTCACCACAAATTAGCTGTTTGAACCTGGTAGATCTTTTATCTTCCTTTATAAAAGCTGACATGTTGATCCCAGTGTATCAGACACATTTTTGTCTGAGTCTTACATTCTTGTTTTTTCAAACTCACTGTCCTAGTTTTAATTCAGGAATGGTGGGCTCTATCACTTCCTGTCCCAACAGAGTATCCTGGTCTGTAACTAAATCCAGAGTCAACTGTTTTCAATTTTCATCCTTCCCCCTTTCAAGATTTCCCTTTGAAGTCTGCCTTTTCCTTTTCTCTTTAAGGGTTGGAATGCTGTTAAACTACAAACGCTTCTGATTAGTGAAGTACACAAGAGACAGGCACAAATACACACATTAATAAATATCTCTTGTTCTCCAACAAACAAAACATTTGGAAGAGCATGTGAAGAGGCAAAATAAGATGGTGACTGGGGATGCAGGACCTGGTATCAGAGAGCTCCGTTCTACTACTTACTGTGTGAGCTTTCACAAATTTCCTAACTTTAATGTGCCTCAGCTTCTACAATGTCAAGTGGCAATATTAACAGAACTAACCTCAAAAGTTGATTGGGAAGTTTTCAGGAGACATTACAGATTAATCATCTGGAACATCACTGGCATAGATGGATCATCAAGTATTTTACTGGAGGAACACCCCAAAATAGCCAGACATCACACTCCTCACAAACTTTATTAGTTTTTCCCTTTTTTTCCTGATGTGTGCAGAGCTGCAGGCTCATCAGTTTCCAGCCCACCCTAACCCAAATAAGTCTCTCTGGAGCCTACCCCAGGCCACTGAGCATCCCCAAAAGTGCACAGTAATACACCTGACCATTACAGCTTCCTTCGAATCTGACTAGCACTATTAATGTATGTATCTGTATATGTTTTAAAGTATATAACACATATTAGTAATTCAGTACCCAGTTGCAATACATATCTCTGGGATATATCTGAGCACCTGATTTTAGTAGTTTTTCTACTGTCTTATCGATGCTCATTCTGGAAATATGTGACCACAGGACGGTGATCCATCACAAGGCGTGGAGCTGCAGGGGACACAGAGATCTTTGAGCATGGATATGGAGGACAGAAAGTAGCAACTTGAGCCTCAGGATGGAATGTGATAGTTCAGGGGACTGAATAGAGACTATCTTTTTAGGTCAGACTATTACCCTGGTTACTCCTAAGAATGAATTTGCTAGAACCTGCTGGTTTTCTCTTTCAAGAAATGTGTGTGTTCTATTTGTATAGCAGCACAGTTTGTAGTAGCTAAAACTTGGAAACAAGCCAAATGTCCATCAACTGGAGACTGGATAAAGAAAATGGGGTTTTTCTATAAAATGGAGTACTATTCAGCCATAAAGAATGAGAAATTACAGAAATGTATAGCTAAATGGATGCACATTGAGGCCATACTCAAGTGATTATAAATAGGACACACTTGAGTAAATACCAAATAGATACTCTGGTGTGAAAAACTAAAAGCGTAAATAAGGTTCAAATGGTCTAACTGATAGTGTGAAATAGGAAGAAAATGGCTAAAGGGGAAGTGGGAAAGGGAGGGGAAAGGAAATAAGGGAAAAGAAAAAATGTTTAAAAATGGAAACAAAGTCTTTGTAAATATGGAAGGGTGAAGAGGGTGAAGGGAGGGCACGGGATGGGGAAAAAATAAGAACCAAGATACATCATGGAAAAGTACAAGATCCCCTGATAAATGCAACTGTATTGTTTGCTTTAAATAGTTAATGGGAGAAAAAAGAAATATGTGTGTGTGTGTGTGTGTGTGTGTGTGTGTGTGTGTGTGTGCACCCGTGTGAGTTTCTGAGGAAGCCCATACAAATTAGCCTCCTCTGGTCAAATTAACTTTTTGGCATATAGGTAATTACCTAAGGAATTTTCAGATAAATTATAAGCATAGGTCAGGGTAAACATTTACTTATAAAAAAGTACCTCAGGGAGGGGAAAGGAAGGGTTAATGCGTGATGTAAAAAATAAATTTTTATACATGTGTTTATGAACAAGAGAAAGGATCAAGAATAATAAAGGTAACATAGAAGAGAGATAAAAATGAGAAACCAAAGCTTTTTTTCCCTTGTAAAATACAGAGGCACAAAATGTTTGATCTCCACCTCCCTAGCCCCTCCTTCTCTGTACTGTGTAGCTGGGTTCTAGAATTGGTTACAGAAGCTCTAGTAAATGAAGTCAGTAAATTGGGTCACCAACAATTCAGATTAATCAACTCAATGACAATCTTGAGGTAGAGGAAAAACTCATGTCTGGCTTCTGATCACAACCCCAATATTTACTGGCTCAGTCTCTGAACAGATTGAGCTTTCTAAGCCCAAAATGGAAAAAAAATCCATACCTGGAAGATTTTCTATGAGAAGTACAAATAAGTAAGGTATCTGGAATGTAGTGGCTCAAGAAGCTTAAGAAGCAATAACTATTATTATTATGATTTCCATTATAAAGTATATAAAACTATGTAAGACATGATCCCTAATCTCAAGTAGGTTCATAAGCAAAGAACATGTGATGCATTTAAATTTAAAATACAACTAAACATCTCAGATAATTATTTCTTCTAAAAAATTAATAGGGACTTTTCAAAAGAAAAAAGATAAAAATTATTGAGGAAAGACAGCCACATGCTTAACACTTATAAAAGAAAGTTGCCTCCTAAAACAAACACACTAAAAGGACTTGACATTTTGAATAAGAAATACATTTTTACTCAAATTTTCCTGAAGACAAATACTTTACCAGTGGCCACTCAAAAATAGGGCTCAAGCTGGTCCACAGAAAATAGAGATGATTCAGGTGGTGAAATGGAAAGGCCAGCATTTTGAAGGAGCACAGTGATGTGAAGCAAAAGACCACATGTCTGAGATAGTCCTGTACCTTTACACATCACCCTCTACCTTCCCAGCCCCACCGGAAGAAACTCTAGATACCCTTGCTTATTCACAGCTACCTTTGATAATTTTTTCCCATTTCTGGTATCCATGTGCTGGGCTCAGAGACCTATTGCTGATCTCACTTCTTGACTTTCCACCGAATTTTCCATCTGTAGCCTTACCCTCTACCCTAAGATCCAACATTACTACTGTTCCTCTGGTTCTACCCCTTGGTTCCTTCTTTGATAATAATTTGAACTTGCTTTTCAAATTGTGTCTGTTTCTGGTCCCTCTGGATGACTCAGCCCTGATCCCATGAAGCTATTGGGGTTGGTGTTCATGCCAAGTCCTTGGTCCCTAGAGAGGGGAATGGAAAAAGACACGGAAAAGAGAAGATATTTGTAAGTTAGCTTGCCAGGAGCAGAGTATTTGGGAAGGTGAGTAGTTAAAAACATTGGCAAAATCTTTTGCAAAATTGCAGAATTCTTTCCACATGGCCTCCATCATAAAACACTTTGTATTTGTCAAATTATATTAGCCAAGAAGGCCGATGGCCACCAAAGGCTGAGTGACAGACTGCAACATTGGGTCTGAAGTTTTGCCAGGGTACTGAACGGTTTATGCAACCAAACTCAGCCTTTAAGATGAGAAGGGTTTTCTCTCCTCTTCTTAAAGGGGAGCATAGAGGTATTTATGGTCATGGATGTGTTTCTTAAAACAAATCCAATTACAACCAAGAGATTTAGCAATACTTTTAGTAGGACTTGGCCAAACAACAAATGTGTATTAATCGCCTACTCTATACAAATCATCCTGGATTCATGCGGTTTAAATTCTCTATATTTAACTCAATTTTCTTGAAATTGTGCAACATATTGTTTGGCTTTATTATTATGACTTATGAAAAGTAAAAAAAAAAAAAAACAATAATCACTTACTCCTTAGGATTCATCCTGTCCTTCCATCCCAATTACTTAGTTGGTTCCGTGGAGGAAGATGTAAGCAGGAACCTATTTATGGGAAAAGGTATTTCTGCTTATGTTGAAAATAAATATAAATGTTTTATTGCTGATGACTCCCAAATCTGTATCTCCAGTTCAGATCAGATAATAAACCCCAATCACTTATTCTATATTTCTAAGTATCCCCAAAATGTTGCATTATTCCCATTTTTATTTCTCCCTGCAAACTATGAACTACTTTAGCACTACCAATGTAATCCAGAAATGAAGGAGCCGTCCTTCACTCTCACCATCACCTCCTAAATAAACGTCATATTGCTTCAAAGCCTATAATCTGAGCTGCATCATCTGAACCTGGGCTACTACAATGCCTCATCCCACCCGATCTCCTGGCATGAACCTGACTCATCTACAGAAACCACAATCTGATTGTGTCTCTTTCCCTCCTTACAGTCTTCAATGGCTTCCAATTTCCTTTAAGATTTGCTTTTATTTTTTAAACACAGCTTTTGCACTTTCACATGGTCCTGCCTATTTCCCCACCATAACCTTGCAAGTTTAACTAGTGCAAGCCTCGTGCCACCTATTAACCTGTATAGCTACCATCCCGTTAGTCTGTAAGCCTCTCTTCTCTTCCTACCTTTCCTGCCCTCGGTGTCCACGTAACTCCCACCTCTACCTGAAATTGCTTGTCAAACCTTCTTAAAGAGATTGTTTTCCCTCTCCCATTCAGTCAATGGTTGTTATAAAGGCAGGCTGAAATTAACAGTGCAACTTCTAGAACAAACCCTGAAGTATCTGACAAACTTAGGAATTCGAATGCAGGGTACAGTAACATTTCCCATGGAGCCTGTCTTCATTCCTCTCTCAATGGCACAGTGTGGGAGGGCTGTTTCTCCTACTTCCTGCCCAGTACATAACCTTATTATACTAAAAATAAAGATTCCCCATCTGAGCAATGGAAAAAAATTATTTTCCAACCCTTAAACTAAATCTGGACCCTCTGTCATGTTTTCTTAACCATATGTTTCCTTAATCAGTTTTATCAAAGTATTAAAATCATGTATTTTTGTGATCATTTCATTTCCACAAAACTCTCTGCGCTGTCCCCAGGGTAGCTATCTTGCTGCTTAGCCTAACAGCTCATTGACGGACATCTCTAGAGGTGCAGGTGAGGGCGAACCAACCCAAGAGTATTCAAATGTGAAGAAGTAAATTGAAGAACACAGGGAACCAGATGCCGACTTGCAAAGTCGTCCCTCTGGCCTTTCTGTTCCCCCTTAGCATTTACTGGCATCTCACACGGAATGATTTGCTTATTTGTGTTCCGTTATTGTTTGCCTCCTCTCCTAGCATTAATCTCTATGAGTAGAGCTTTGGCCTGCTTTGTGCAATAGCCTCGCTGCCTAGACCACTCCCCGTACACAGCGAGAAGCTTTAAAAAATGAATGAAAGTGAATGTTCTCTTAAAATGAAAAGGAAGATTCTAAAGAATCAATTTGAGAGAAATAGCTCTTATCCGAAAAATGAGTTTGTACTCCAGGAAAGGAAAGTGGTATCTGTAATTATAAATCAATATAAATTTGTGAGGGTGGTCAGTGCTTAAGAATAATATATATAATTGAAATTGGAGATGAGAAAAGCCACTTTATAGCAGCAGTGGATATCTAGCAAGTGGCTGTAAGTTGTGTGGCTGTATTACTAGGGTTCAGTGCTTCCTTGTAAATCTCCTCTATTATCATCATTATTGGCCAGAGAGAAAGGCACCAATTAATACACTTCCTTACTTTCTTGCACTTACCACATATAACCACTTCCAGTGAAGAGTAGCCTGTAGTAAGGGTTCCACATTCTTTTACATTCTAAGCAGCCGAAATTTTGAAACTGCACTATGACAGACTTGTGAACAAAGAGAAAGGAGCTGAGGCCACTATTCTAGGGTAGTTTGAGCTACTTACAGGTCTTTTCAGTAATGCCCACAGGTAGGCCAGGGTTATTTGTGCTAATTTTTCATACCTGTGTATGAAAACACACAAACACTTTCTGACTCTGGAGTCTGAAGAAGGAAGTGCTTACCACAGACCCTGGCACTAACTGAGGTTTTGTAAATAACCCCTGAGGAGGTTCTATGCCTCAAGAATCTGAAGCCTCTACATTTTTGCACCTGAGAACAGAATGAGCTGTTACACACAGTGAAACAGGAGGTCTGAGTCAGACACATCTTGGTATTGAAAGCAGCCAGCACTCACTATGGTATGTGGCACAAGATTAATATGCAGTAAACAGTGCTGAATAAAAGAAGTAGTAAATGCCCAGGAAAAACATGCATCTGCCAGAACAAAGCTTTCATGGCTGCTTCTTGGTATTTTGGTGTGGGGGAGTCTCACTTGAGAATTGAAACATTAGACCTGCTGTGCAGGCAACTTTGAGGTCTACAGGTGTAGCATCTTTGTGTTCAAGAATTTCCAAGTTGGTAAATTAATATAAAATTCTGCCCTAAAGACAGAAGAAAAGATAATCCAGACTTCATTTCTTAGGAGTCTCATAAATAACAGTCCAAACCAGATAAAGCCCTTAACCCCAAATTATAAAATACAGAGAAAACCAGCCATCTTGATCATGAATGAGGAATCATAAAAATAAGAAGAGAAAGCAAGTGAACAAGAGGAAAGATTTATAGCAAACCACTCATAATTCACCACAGAGGTATAGAAACCGACAGCGTGAAGGATAAAATGAGAATGAGAAGCTCTAACACAAAGGAGAGAGAAGGCACTAAATTAAGCACAGTAGAGGCAATATTAGAAGAGACAATGTCTTGTTATCCTGAACTGAAGGAAGACATAAATTATCAGATTAGACACCCAGTGATGAGCCATGTGAATAAAAATATAACCACATCCATCCACATTATAGTGCAACACAATGCCAAAGAGTCAAAACATCTTAAAATCACCGATGAGAAAACATTCTACAACAACATGAGAAAGAGCTAGAAAATGATGAAAAAAGACATCTTCAAAGTATGAAGGAAAACAACCTTCAACTAAAATTTATTCCTAGGTATTATTACAGAAGAAACATAAAATGAATATATTTTAGACAAATAATGTAATTGCTCACAAATCCCTGTTGATAGAAGATCTACTTCAGAAAATTGTACAAAGATAGAAAAAAATGAATGCTAAGGGACTGGTGAAGATACATGTAAACAAAACAAATAGTGACCACATGAAACATTGATAAAAGTGATGGATGATGGGAATACTGTAACCAGTTGTAAAACCTTCTGTTTGCTTGCATGGTTCAAAAGATATGTAGAAGTATTGACCAATGTTGCATTATGTTGAATTAAATATGTGTTAATAGTCAAGGAAATCTACTCAAAGTTTAAATATAATATATAAAATTTTAAAATTAATAAAAGGATAAAATGGAATAAAGACTTGTCACATAAGCCAATAAGGGGATTAAGTAAATTTTTAAAAATCTGCACAAAAGGCTTAACAAATAAAAGCATTAAATAATATCTTACAGATAAATAGCAATATTTCAGTAATGACAACACATGCAATCTTTAAACTGTGTCAATATGTATTAATGAGACAGATAAACAAAACATGAGCATGTATCAATATATAAAGAAAAGCCATAGAAGAAATGACACCAACCAAATGCTTACCTAAAGAACATTGTAATACTCAAATTAATATAAATAAATTTTAAGGTAGAAAATGCTGTTAAAAAACAAAGAGACACACTGAATGATAATTGAAACACAATCACTGGCAATCTGTGAAAATTATCAACTTTAGGTAGTGCCTAAAATACATTTTCAGAACATATAATGCAAAAATTGAATGAAGAAGAGGTTTGTGAAATTCAAAATTAGAACTGCACATTTCAATCATTAATAAGTAAGCAAGAAACCCAACAATTTAATAAGGTCAAAAAAGTTTTGAATAATACAATCACTAACAAGCTTGCTAGAATAAGTATCTATACAACCCTGCATCCAAGAATTAATAGACCAATTCTTAGGCAAATAAAAAATGTTTGTTAAAATTGATCGTGTATTAGGCCAAAAGAGAAGGTCTTAAAAATTATCAAAGATGGCCTGCCTGGCAAGCACAAGGACCCGAGTTCAATACCCGGTACCAGAAAAAAAAAAAAAAAAAAAAAAAAAAAAAAAAATCAAAGAATAAATGTCACAGAGACCATATTCTCTACCAACATGGAATAAAACTAGAAACTGACATCAAAACATTTTTAAACCTGTGTGTTTAGCAAATTTTAAGCATACTAATTTATAACTCAAAATAGAAATAATACTTGAAATATTTAAAAGTTTTAAAATTCCTATTTTATATAAATTATGCAAGAGGGTTTTTTTAAAGGAGAATATGCAATTCATATTACAAGTCTAGAGTAATTTTACTTCAAAATGGGCAAGAAGTATATAATAAAGGAGATTCAGAGGGCCACCTCATTTGCAAACTCAGATATAAAAGTCTAAATTAAATGTTAGCAAGACTTCAGCAAAAAAAATTTTGCAACAAAGATTGATAGATCATTAGTGCATTTCATAAAGGTGGTTAAACATTAGAACATCTTTGAATATTCACCATACTGAGACATCAGTGGGTAGAAAACCAGTGATAACTCATAAAAAAGACAGGATTCAATGTAATTCAACACCCTTGGTGATTTTAAAAAACAATACTTGAATGCCTAAGCATTCTTTTATTTCCTTTTCTTTTCTGTACTTCATTTTACTTTATCCTAAGAATTACTTAGTAATATTTAATTTCAAAATGCTTGGGATTTTTAAATTATTCTTATGACATTAACATCTAATTTTATTGCCTTTTCATCAGAAAAATGCAGGCTATGTGATATGATGCATTGTAATTATTATTCCTTATTATATTATTATTCCTTTGTGTCATGATATAGAATATTCTTGAAAATGTGTAGAAAAGTAAATATTCTTCATTTGGTGTGCAGTTTCTGAGTGTCAAAGGAAAGCATATTCAAATATCTGATTT